AATAATTTGATTCTATACATGGAAAATTTATAAATTTGATATAATTTTCCAGATATAAAATCTAATTATTGGAGGTTTGTCTTAAATATGTCAACCTCCCACTGGTACAGTAGGGAAAATTAAATCTGGGGGGGTCTGGTAGCCCTTTTGCCCTCTGTCCCCTACCCCCCACACTAGACCTTTCCCTTTGCAGATCTTTCTCTCCTCCTTACTGTCAGATCCTGCTCTCCCTGAGCACATAGAAGTGAAGGGAAGATTTGAAAACACTGATTTTGAAATAAACATAGTTGTAGCAATTTGTATATACTATCCATAGACTTAGCTCACTCAGAAATTATGTGTTTTGCCTTCTTTAAAATTGCAGCAAGTTCTAGCATAGGCACTCCATAAACTCATTTTAAGTAGCACTTTAACACCTACTTAGGGTACAGACTATGCATGATATTAATCCAAAGCCATAATTATAATTTACCATATGGTTCATGATTTACCATATGGTTCACTGGACTGGGCCTCAGCAAAGTTAACAGCGTTTCAAGCCATGGTGACCCCATAGCTTAGCACTGCCCAGTATGTGTATGTACCCCAGATACCCTTACAAAAGAGCCATGTGCTAATTAGCTCCCACTCATGACTGGAACCATGTGTTCTCTTCCTGGGTCCTGGGATCCTCCAAAAATTTATATGCAGATGACTTACAGGGCAACCTGGTCTGACTCTACCTCATGGAGGGCAGGGCCACACTAATCATATACGACAGGCTGAGAGAGAGGGTGGCGGAAGGATTCTGGGTGAACTGTCTGGGGCCTTGTTTGGTGATGTTGCTAGATTATTAAGGCTGGTGAAGAAACGGGAATCATTGGAACTGGGGAGGAAAGGCACAGCTCAGCTGTGGAAGTGGAAAGAAAAGAAAATGTATTCTATATAGTGGCTCACCATGACCTGGAAAAGTTGGCACTGAGGGGAACTGCACTCAATGGGCACTACCATATGTCTTATTCAGATGCATTGCACTGGAAGTTTGCCCTATGTAGGCCATATATTTTATAGTGTTGGCTGCATTTAATCAACTTCATAACTGGTTTCTATTACTGAGAGCACGCTGCTTTTAGCAGTAGTTTAATGATAGATGATGTAGTTAATTAGGTTTCCTTATATGTGAGTAGAAGATGAGGGGCCTTTTTCCTTATGCTGAGTGGGAGAAAGAAACCTAGTCTTATATTTGAGTAAATATGGCAGTTTATCCTTTTTTCCCTTTTTTCGTTTTCCCTTTTTTCCCCTACTTCTGTAACTTCTCAAAATATTGCAAACCATAGGACAGTTTCAGAGCAGCAAGAAGAATCTTCAATTCTGCTACTCTGGAACTTTGCCTAGGTTGCGAAAGTTTTGAAAAGTTACACTGTAGTAAAGGGACAATAGAAAAATGAAACCTAGGGGTGGAAAATGGCCTTAGACATCCTTTATCTTGCATTCAGTGGGGAAGGGTTAGAGAAGCTGGAAAGAAAATAGAAAAATCTGAAAATTTCAGTATTTAATAAATATAAATATTGAAAGTTTTGGTTTTCAGCAACTATTAAAATATTTAAAAACAAATGGACAAAAAGCTTTTGTTGATAGCTTTTTAGTTTTTAAAAGCTGCCCCTTTGTGGAAGATAGGCATTTTGCACACCTTTTTACCAGCTTTCATCACAATAGCTTTTTAGCTGTAGTATATACATTTATCTAGTTTACTTCAATCATCTTAATTTTATTTTGACTATCATAGTTTTCAGGTCCTGTCCTAAAATCCTGTTTAGCATTGTTGAGCTGCTCTTCACCATGGTTGGATTTCTGCTAAGTGAAGAAATTCCTGTGTGTGTAATATTTGAAATTTACTGTGAAATATTGTTTTGAGACACTACATGGAATTGTAAAATATTGTTAAAAGTAGTGTCATATTTTTTTCTTCTTTTAAATATAATCCAAAGACATATGTGGAAAAGACAAAGAACAGTTAGAGGTTCAGGTTCCTTAATAATTAGGTCCCTTTACCTCTGGAATTGGTGGCTTCTGCTTAATAAAGCAGCCATCAGAACTTTGATTGTTAGGGCTCGCATACAGTAGGTCTGATTAGAATTCTAGTACTTTGGGAGGTTTCACACTAATCAAAATTCATTTCCAGTGATCTGTGCCTTGTTTTAAATCAGGCTATTTGGAAATAGAGACTGTAGTTATCTTACCTATACATCACTGTCAAATGCTGGAGGTATGAAACCAAGAAGAAAGCTCAGGAGTAATAGATGGGTATTTACATGTATTTAAAATAATGAGATCCATAATGGTTTGCCTGCAGTAGACAACCGTCATTTAGGATGTAACTGTGATATAATTGACCTTGTCTTTAGTTAACTTGTAATATAGTTAAATATCTTTAAGTAACGTCTGCAGATGGGCATGCAAAACCCACATCACCTCTTCAGAACAGGCTGTGTAGTTATCTTTTTTATTATTGCTGTTTCTTAAAGACCATATTCTACAAGATCTAGGAAACTGTAGTGTCTAAGTACAGCATGTCTTTGATTACTTACATGCTGGTTCCTAACAGTTTGACCAATAACCATTTTGGTTAACCATTTTTCAGTTTTCTTCTAAAAATAGGCATTTGTACTATTGGAAGAAATTAGTTATTTTTGTTGCAGAAATTGTCTTTCCACAATGGAAGCATTATTTATTTCTAGCATAAAAATAGTCCTAGTATGTTCTAAACTAGGGATGTCAAACGTATGGCCAGTGGAGTTGTTCCCTCCAGCCCAAGGGGTAGGGCCCACCGTTGAATTCCTGGGTATGAAGCCCTGTTTGGGACCTGTATTGGCAACAGGGGTGGTGAGCAATGGCTGTGTTAACTCCAACTGCCACCCCTGCTTGTCCTGCTGCCAGGTTCAGGTCTGACCTACGAGGAGCCCTGTGGTTTGGATGTGGGTCATGTTTGATAGCCCTGGCCCTAAACGCTGTTGCTGTTGCTGTTGTTGTATTAAATGGAAAAAGTGGATACTATAGTGCTAGGTTTTTTTCTTTATGATTCTCTTTGATTTGAAACTTTGATTTGAAGGTCTTCTGAAAAACAAGGTTGTTTTGTTTATGTATTTATTTGTTTGAGTGCCTTCAGTTTATTTGCTGTTCAGAGTTTGAGAATAAATTGTGTCTAAGGAGAGATATGAAGGCAGACAAGGAAAAGGTCTATGGAGAGAGGTCAAAACTTGAGAGGCAGCAGGGAACTAAGCACCTGTGTCTTTGGTTAGAAGTCATACTGACCTAGTAACTGTACCTTTATCAGGAAAAAGGGCATGCTTTTAATAATCTTGGGCTTTGATGGAAAAACTACAATAGCAGCAAATTCTACAGCTACAAAATGCTTCTTCAAAGGCTGGGCTTTGGGCACTGATTTATGTCTTAGTCTTAGTTTAACTAAGGGGATATTAGAAGTCCATCCCAGGAGATAGATCTTCATGGAATCTTCTGATCATATTTTAAAATGGGCATATGCCTGTAGGGATGATCACAAAATATGTGTGACTTAGATTATGCTGCACAGGTTAGTTCTGGAATTTGCTTTAGTTTATTCCTATATCAGCACTGAATTGACATCACATATGTCAGTGCTCTGGAGAAGATGCCTTTCTTGTTTCATCTGAATCAGATGAGGACCACTGAATTCACAAAGTTGGACTTGGGTTAAAGGAAAAGGTTTATTAGGCAGACATGGTTATT